GGGTGGGCGGGGAGGGAACGACGCGGAGAGGATGGCAACCACAGGGCGACCCCCGGACCACACCACCAACACACGGGGAAGCAGAAACGCTTCTGCCCGAGACCCTCCCCACGAATCAGCGCGTCCCCCCGTCTTTTTCACTTCCTCCAACAACCCCGACTCATCGGAGTACAAGCGTCGCCGAGAGAGGCCCCTCACCTCCTCACCCTCGAGGGCGCTGCCAGGTCCAGTCGCAGTCTGCCAGGTCCCTCACCCTCGAGGGCACTTCGCGGCACAGGCCCTCGACGTCGCAGGCAGCTTGGGCCCAACGGGCGGTCAAGTAAACGGCGGGCCGCATCCGCGGCCAAATGATGCGGCATGGAGCAAGCCGCGGGGCGGCGGGACTGGCGAGCCCCGCATGCCGCGCGCAGACCGCGCCGCCGCGGCGGGCGCCGCTACGCGCGGCTCCCCCCCCGCAGGGAGGCCCGCACGCAAACCGATGGGCCCCCCAGGCCGCGGCGCAGTGGGGGGCCACGTGCCGGCCTGCTCCGGCCGGCGCCTCCCCGGCGGCCTCCGCGCCGGCACCAGCAGCGCCGAGCCGAGCGCGGCGTTCGGCCGGGACGGTGTCCCGCTGACGTGCGGTGGGCCTCCGTGCAGCGCCGTCAACTGCTGGTCGGCGCGGTCGGTGCTGTCGCGGGAGCCTCCGCGCTGCTGCTCGGCCCGAGGAGCGCCGATTCTGCCAGCATCGCCGCGAGGATCCACAGGACGGACCGCAGTACAGTCATCGGCCTGACCTAAGGAACGATAAATAAGGAACGAAGCCGCTTTTTTATTCCAAGGAATAACGCATAAGGAACGATAAATTATCGCAGTGCGACCCTACCTAGGAGTTGGAACCCCTAGGAAAGCAGCACTAGTAGTAACAGTAACGCTAAGCTAAAGCTAAGCTAAAGCTAAGCTAAAGCTAAGCTAAAGCTAAGCTAAAGCTAAGCCACAGCTAAGCTAAAGCTAAGCTAGAGCTAAGCTAAAGCTATGCTAAAGCTAAGCTAAAGCGAAGCTACAGCTAAGCTAAAGCTGAGCAGCAGCTAAGCTATAGCTAAGCGACCGCTAAGCTAAAGCTAAGCTAAAGCTAAGCAGAAGCTCAGCTAAAACTCAGCTAAAGCTAAGCTACAGCTAAGCTACAGCTAAGCTAAAGCTAAGCTAAAGCTAAGCTAAAGCTAAATCTAAAGCTAAAACTAAAGCTCCCAGGGGACTGGGGGGAACCGCTCCCAGGGGACAGGGGGAACCGCCCGGGGCGCTTTGCACTGCCCAGCCCCTTTAAGCTAAGAGAGTAAGAGCCCTTCTAGGCAGAACCTAGGTAGGGAATAACACATAACGCATAAGGAACTGTAAAAAAAACGCATGCAAACCTAAGGAACGACCGAGCCCGTTTTCAAAAGCAACCGTTCCTTATTCAAGCCGCTCACTGTAAATCCAGTGGCCGCGCGGTGGTCGGGCCCACCAGCGTCGGGTGGCCAGTCAGCGCCAGCGGGTGCCATGTGAAGGTCCGCCCCGTCGTCGTCGGCAGCAAGAGTGGCGGGCCTGTGCGAAGCAGCAGCAGCAGCAACAGCAGCAGCAGCAGCAGCAGCGAGGACACCACGCTTGTCGGCTCCGTCGGCGCACTACGGTACATTATCGGCGGGCACCTGTACGGACGCCCCAACGATGGTCGGCTCAGTCAGCGAAGCGACAGACCGTCGCACAACAGCAAATCCACATGCCCCATTCTGGTAGGACTGCTCGGCGTCCTCCCGGACATATATGCCGACCTCGGCGCACCAGCAGCGGATCGACTCCGTCGGCGCCTCCACAAAGATTTGCGCGCGCCACCCAACGACAGCTTACTCCAGTAGCGTTCAAGTGACGCGCGCGCTTGGAAAAATAACGCGGATATTTTTCGAGCGGCTCGGGCGTTCCACCACCCACGCCTCTTTGATCGCGCCTTACCTATAATATCACCCTTCTGGTGCGGAAGATCCTTTGTCAGGGCAAACGCATAATGTTCTGTGTGTTCTAACCGCCCACGTGTGGTTTGGGATATCTAGCTGGCGCTCACCTGTCCATCCGCTTTTACCCGCAAGTAACTATACATGCGCCTGCCCAACTTTTCACCACCGTGCGAGGAGGCACTGAGGAGAGTGCCCTCAGCTCCTTTCGATCTCCCGAAGGTTGAGCATGATAAGTTCGGTGCTCTTCAAGGGGCCCAGGTTCTGGTGATTTCTGAAGTCTCGGGCCCTGGGATGCGTCGCCTGACATTTCCCAAAGCCTCGGCCTCCTCCTCCTCCTCCTCCTCCTCCTCTTCTCCTCCTCCTCCTCACTCCTCCTTCTACTCCCCTTTTCCTCCCATGCCTTCTTCCCTCCTCACTCCTCTTCCTCTTCCTCCTCTTCCTCTTCCTCCTCTTCCTCCTCCTCCTCCCCCTCCTCCTCCTCCGCGTCCTCCTCCTCCTTCTGCACATTTCCAGCATGGTTGCGATGGCCCGCGTAGGTCCCAACAGACAGGTGCGAAAGCTTCCGCGCGCTATTTTTCGGCGAGCCGCATCACTTGGCGAGGCGGTCTCCCTGGCGGCGGTCCAGGTCCTCTACCCTGGACGGCAGCTCGCGGCATAGGCCGTCGACGTCGCATGTGCTACTGGGAACCATCGTGGAACCATCGTGGAACCAAGCAGGAACCCTGTGAATCCATTTGGTTTCGTCACACTTGCGACGTTGGAACCATCGTGATACCATCGTAGAACCAAGCAGGAACCCTGTGAATTCATAGGGTTTCGTGACATGTCAACCTCTCGGAACCATCGTGGAACCAAGCTGGAACCACAGCGGTCGGGTGCCGGACCTTATAAAACGACACGGATCGGCGATCGCGGGTTGACCGCCCCTACTCCTATTAGAATACAAATTAAAAGGTGGTGCACGGCGCATCTACGCCCTTGCGCCCTGGAGCAGAGGGGCACCCTTAATCAGTAGTATAAGAAGGCCGCTGGGCCCCAAACCCCCTCCCCCAGCCCACGCCTGGACCTCCCTCTCTGAGCTCCGGACATCAGAGCGGGCAGGGAACTGCATTGCGATGGATGTAATATTTCTAGCTGCGAGTCTCCCGGCCACGCTTGTGCTCTGGGCTCGCGCCCGCGGGGGCCTCCCGGCGCGGTCGCATAGCTCTTCAAGTCAAACGGCACCGACGCAGCCAGTCCCTGGACAGCTCCTGGAGCGCGCTCTGGCCAGAATTCCGATGCGGATTTACTTGCGGCGACAGGGGCCCCACAGGGCGAGTGGCGGACCAGCCATGTGACGTCGCATCGTGGCCTCGGCTGCCCGCGAGCCCAGCGACTCCGCGTCTCCTGCCCTGCCCCCCAGCCCTGGCCTCGTCTCCCCCCCGTGCCCGCTCCTCCCCAGGAATCAAAGTTAAGGAAACAATTCGCACCTGTCTGAAGGGGCCATCAGGAGGGGCCAAGATGGGGGAACTCGAACTACCGTTTCGAGCCCTCCACCCCAAGGTGGCCCCCGACATAGCCAGCAGGCCATCATCTCCAGGGTGTTCCTAAGAGGCCCCGAAGAGGTTCCCAAGACGCCCCCACGAGGCCCTGAAGTGGCCATCGAGAGGCCCCCCAAGAGTCCCCAAGAGGTATCCTCAGGAACTTTGTTGGTGCCACTTTTGCATCCACACTGGCCCGATTCAGGATCGCCAAGACGCAACGTTGCTTCGCGATTCGCAGCGATGCCAGGAACAGCGTTCTGGCAGGGTTCAAGATTTTCAGACCGTTGTGTTCCAACGGGGCACTTCCCTGAGTGAAAATGAACCCTTGTAGGGGCCTATGCAGAACGAACTTGGAGGGAGGGTTTACTACAACATCGTTGATGAGTCTTGGGTCCCTTCGTCGTGGCCAGCGTACCAGGGGCCAACGGACGGCCCGCATCATCAGGACACTCAGGACCCTCCTCCACCTCCTCCTCCTCCCTCCTCCCTCCTCCTCCTCCCTTCTCGTCGTCCTCGTTCTTCCTCGTCCTCGTCCTCATCTTCCTCCTCATCCTCCTCCATACCTTGTCCTTATGAATAACTCCTTCCTGTCGCACCCCGAGGCCAGTCGAAGGGCGGGCCAGGCGTTTCGCCTGAAACTTCCTTACCACTTGTGTACATCAAGCTTAAGACGGGCAATCATTTCACAGATGGAGGGCTGGCCGCTTCCAAAATGTGGCTCTCGCCTTAGCGCCGCGCGCATTTGATTCAACAACTTGCCAACGTTTCACGGTTTGAAGACAATTCGTGTAAAACATGTGCCTCTCGCCTCAGCGCCGCGCACATTCGCATTACAATGTTGCACAAGAGCTTCACGGAATGAGGACATGTAGTTTTTTATGTGACTCTCGCCTCAGCGCTGCGCACATTCTTTTTAGACATGTGCAAGAGCTTCAAGGATTGAGGGCAATACCCTGTCAAAATGTGGCTCTCGCCTTAGCGCCGCGCGCAATCGTTTTAAACCTTTTCAAGAGTTTCCTTAGTTCTCACGGCTAACGCGTGCAAGAAATGGTTTTGAAATGATTCAGGCTTGCTAGGGCACAATACTTACGTTGATTCGCGATGTTGTAATCCCAAGAACGGTGTTCTCGCACGATTCAGGACCGTCAGGACGCAACGATCAAGTTGACGTTGAAGTCATGAGAATGGTGTTCCAACACGCTTCAGGATCTTCAAACGGCTGTCTCCCGACGGGGTACTTCTCTCAGTGGAGATGAACTCTTCTAGGGGCCTATGAAGAGGGAGCTTCGAGGGAGGGTAGATTCCAGCATCGTTGATGAGTCTTGGGTTTGCACCCGTCCTCCTTCCTCGTCGTCCTCCTCCTCCTCCTTCTCCTCCTCCTCGTCCTCGTCCTCGTCCTCGTCCTCCCCCTCCTCCTCCCCCTCCTCCTCCTCCTCCTCCTCCTCCTCCTCCTTCTCGTGACCCCTCCCCCCTCCCCAGGTGGGGCCCCGCCGCGCCGCGGGGCGGCGGCCTGGTGCTTGTGCACGGCCTGCAGCGCCTTCAGGGCGGCGTCCCCGATCTGCAGGTACCTCGGCACGCGGGGGGGGCCCCTCGGGCAGGAGGCGCCTGCCGCCCGCAGCGGCGGGCGACAGGGGGGGATGGCACAGGGCGGGTTTGAGAATCAGCTGATGTGGCTGATTCTCCCGGCGCCTCCCTGGCCATCGCTCGGACGTCCATTTCCTGTGTTTTTTTCGGTTTCGTGCGTGGTTTTTTCGCCAAATGATCAAGGATGCTCCTCGATGGTCCTCGCCGAAGGACAAATGCACACGTCCGAGCGATGCCAGGCTCCCGGCACCGGAGGCGGCTGTGTGTCGAGGAAGGGGCCCCTCGTTGAGGGCGAAACCAGCTGCATGCAGCAAATTTCGTAACCCCCCTTTCCCAATCCCCCCCTTACGTCCGGCCCGACGCCCGCAGCGGCGCGCTGCGGTGACCCCCGACCCTTCAAGCGGCGGTGGGCAAGCCTCCCTTTCGCAAACCTCCCCTTGGTGAAAACGGCCTGGGACCGAATCCGACTGACCTGGGCCCGCAAAAGTGACGGCCGCGACGCCCTCTCGCGAACTGGGAACGGCTGCCTTAGTCGACGTGTCAGGGTAGGAGGTCTGGCCGACCCCGACTCAACAGGGGGGCAAGAATGGTAAGGCTCCAGTCTGCGCACAGACAGCCCCCCCCGGGAAACGCACAGACAGAAGGGGAACTGGGACACACATAGAAATAGACACAAGTAACCAGATTCCCAATCTTTTCCCATATTTTCTGGGTTTCTGTCTTCCCCCCCCCTCACTTCCCAGAAGTTCCATATTTTCTGGGGAGTCGGCGATTCAGTGTGTCTGTGTGTGTGTTTTTCTCCCCTCCTGAACAGAGGGGGCTGCTGCGAAGAGCGGGGGCTGCTCCTTGGACGGCGCGGGCCCTGCGTCTGCAGACCAGGCCCTCGCCTGCTAAGAAACCGGGGGTGCTTCTAACGAGGCTTCTTTCGTCCCTCTGCCCCCCTCTGCTGAAGGGGCCCTGGGACACACGAATAAATACACACAAATAAAAGGATTCCCTACATTTTCCCATATGTTCTGGGTTTCTGTCTTCCCCCCCCACTTCCCATATTTTCCTATACTTTCTGGGGAATCCACGAATAATTGTGTCTGTGTGTTTTTTCCCCTCCTGATCTGCGCGTGGCCGAGGTATGGCTCCTGGCTGCGCGCAGACAGCCCCCTGGGCAGTCCCGGCTGGCCTCAGCAGGCCCCCCGAAGAGTCCAGTGCGGTCTCAACACCCTCGCCCCTGGGTTGGGGTGTTGAGACCGCCCCAGCTTGCCGTCGCTCGGACGTTCATTTTCCGTGTATTTTTCGGTTTCGTGCGTGATTTTTTTGCTCGATGGTCCAGGATGGTCCTCAAGGGTCCTCGCGGAGGGAAAAAATACACACGTCCGAGCGATGCCAGGCCAGACCACTCGGGGGGCCAGCCGGGATTACCCCCGGGGGGCTGTCTGTGCGCAGCCCGGAGCCTTCCCAGGCAGCAAGCCCGAGCGGCAACCAGACAGGGCCCTCCGGGGGCAGAGCGAGCACCCCCCCAAACCCAGGAGGACGCCGACTGCGGTCGAAACGCTGTCATCAGGAACCCCTAAATCAGGAACGGCGCCCCTTTTTTCCAGAAGCTAGACGTCGACCTCCCATAGGAAGCCTCAGGGGAACCCCAAACAGACTGCAAAACAGTTGGGCACGGCTCCTTCTTTGGCGGCCCAGCTGTCCCTACGCGCACCTTCGCCAGCCCTGGTGAGGGGCAACGATAAGGGGGGGATGGGGATAGGGGGGGAAACATCGACCGGGAATCGACGATACATCGCCGCTAGATCGGCGACAGGCCCCCGATGGTGAATCCGCACCTTCCTGGGCGGGTCGGGGCTATCAGACCCTTCTCGGCGATCATTGGGCGATTCGGGGTCGATGCATCCCCCCTATTGAAGGGGCCCTGGGACACACAAATAAATACACACAAATAAACATATTCCTCATATTTTCAAATATTTTCTGGGCTTTTGTCTTCCCCCCCATTTCCCATATTTTCCCATATTTTCTGGGGAATCGCCGATTAATTGTGTCTGTGTGTTTCTTTCCCTCTTGACCTATGCCTACCCGCCCATCCTTGCCCCCGATCCTGGCCATGCCCCCCTCCCTGGGCCCAGGACCGGTGCGGACGGTCTTCCCTGGCCTAGCAGGGCTGGTGTAGGCCCCCACCGGCCCCGTGCACGATTTTGTTCGGGCCTCTCTCGCGAGGATCGGTGCATGTGTGCCGCCGAGGGCCTCCGAGCGTTGTCAGAGCACCAGGCCCAAGTCCCCTCGAGTCATGAAGAAGACACGACGGGACATTTTGCGCTATGTTCGGCCTCTGAGGGCCTTCGCCGGGCCTCGGAGCCGTCAAACAACGACGCCGGATGAGAAGCCGGCCGGGGAAGGGGTCGAGACCTCTGGGGGTCGACGTCACGAACAGAAATCATGACGTCAGGGGTCTGGGGACCGTGTATCTCAGGAGGGGAAGAAACACACAGACACAATTAATCGTCGATCCCCAGGAAAATATGGGAAAATATGGGAAGTGGTGGGGAAGACAAAATCTCAGAAAATATGTGAAAATATGGGGAATATTTTTATTTGTGTGTATTTATTTGTGTGTTTGTGGGCCTCTTCAGTATCACTGCTTCGGGCACGTGGGCAACGTTCAAGAACCAGCCTTCCGCGCGATGGCATCGCGACCTTACGCGGTGCCTCAGTCACGCGCGCCGCCAGCGCGGCACGCCGCGCTGGAAGCGAGGGGGGGGGCTTATGCGCGCGGCCCTGCGCGGGCAGCCTGCGCGCCGGTGTCGGCGGCTGGGCAGCGCTCGGACGTCCACTCCCTGTGTTCTTGTTCGGTTTCGTGCGTGTTTTTTTTTTTTTTTTTTTTTTTTTTTTTTTTTTTTTTTTTTGTTCGCCAAATGATCAAGGATGCTCCTCGATGGTCGTCGCCGAAGGAACAAAAATGCACACGTCCGAGCGATGCCAAGGCGAAGACGAACCCAATTCCTGGCTTCGGGCATGCGGGCAGTTCGTCGATTGTTTTTTTCGCCTGGCCCACAGAAGGGACGGCCCAGACGCAGCGAAGGTCCTGTGCTCGCCCAGTCCCCGCGAAGCGCTGAGACCCACACCGTTGGGACAGCGAACCTCCAGGGGACTTGCTGCCAAGCGACCGCGCGCACGTCCCGCCCAACCCTTCCGTCAAGGTCCGCCCGCCCGGCCCGCCCGTTTGCGCTTCGCCCGCGCGTCCCTCTTGCCCTGAGCGCCGGCCACAACGCGTATAGCGACTGAGCGAGCGATGACATCGACACCGAGAGGACCTCACCGCACGGTCAGTGACCGCAAGGTTCGGGGATTCTGGGGGCCGCAGGCGCATGAAGCCCTCGGATACATCCTCGGAGAAGGAGGAGGAGGAGGAGGAGGAAGAGGAGGAGGAGGAGGAGCCCCCGAATCACCTCTGGCTCGCTGGATGGCGTGGTCACCGCAGCGTTCGGGCACCCCCGACCATGGCGCTACTTCTACCTGGCCCCAGAGCAGCCCGCACAGGCGCAGAGGCGGACCAACGGGCATGGATAAGATTCAGGAACAGGCTAGCACAGCTATGCTCACACTCTCTCAGACAGTGCTTGCACTCAGGGGCGTACTACCAGTCTCCTGACGATTTGCCCCTGAATTAGGAAAACCGAAGGGTACCGATACCGCTACTCCCCGGACCTCTCCCGGGGTGCGTTCTGACCAAGTTTTCGAGGCGAATCCAGCGGTGGCGACGACGGAGGCCCAGGAGGCCCAAACAGGGGAAAACGGGGGAAGGGTCGAGGTATGGGTACCTCTTCCTCCTCTGATGACTGGCGGGACCTGATTGCCCTGGAATGCTTGAAGGTTGAAGGGCTGTGGCAAGGAAGCCTTGCTGTTTTTGTTGTTCTTTTGCTCGCCGCTGCGGCGGGCGAGCCCTCTGCGGGCGGGCCGCGCCCCGCGGCAGGCCACGGGGGGGGGCCGCGGAGGGGCGCCAAAGGCGGAGCGGGCGGGCCCACTCGGACGCCGCGCGCCGCTCCCCGCCGGGATGGTGCCGGGTCCGCCTGGAACCCAGCGGCAGGCCCCGGCTCTGGCGATTCGCGCACGCAGAGGGCACCTACAACGCGGCGGCGCGCACGCGAGGGGGGAGCGCGCGCCGCCAAAAACCTACACAGACCCCCTCTGCGGATTCACTGAGCGCGTTTGCGGTGTGGCGCTGCAGGAGAAGAAGAAACGAGGGCCGCGCGCAGAGCCGGAGGGTCGCGCCGCGTCGGCGATTCGTCAGTGACCAGCGGGCTGGCGAGGCTTGGGGCAGGCCTGGGCGCTGGAGAACGCCGCACCACCGTTGCAGGGGATTCCCCCTCGCAGGGCAGCCGCGGTCCGCCGGGCGGTCAGAGGAGGACGGCCAGAGTCGCGTTGCCCGGGGCGGCGCCGCCGAAGGGGCCACCGCGCCCCAGGATGCTGGCGCAGCAGCACCCCCAGCAGCAGGTGCCGTCGTCGTGCTGGCACGTCGCGCCGCTGGCCCAGCCGCAGTCGCACGAGCACCCGCCCCGGCCCGCGCAGCGCCTGGCCGGCGCCGGGCCCGGAGAGGGGCCCGAGCCGCCGCGGATGGCGGCGCGGACGAAGGCGCCCGACGGCGTCAGCTCGCCGGCGGGCCAGCCCCCGGAGCCGCCGGTGCCCGGGCGCAGCGCGGCGCACGCCTCGGCCTTGTCCTCGATCGCCCAGTTGGCGCTGGAGATGTGGTGCGCCGCCAGGAAGGCCAGCCACGTCGCGGCCTCGCCCAGGTCCAGGGAGCCGTCGCCGCTCGCCTCGCAGGTGCCCCACTCGGTCACGAAGAGCGCGGCGCCGGCGCCCAGCGCCGCCTGTGGGGGGAGCCACAAGGTACCTATCATA